CAAAGTTGTTTGTCTTCTGTCGGTGGATAAATCCCAAAAGGAGGACATTCTTATTAAAAGGGCTATGGTGGTTGTGTAACGTAACCTTCGAAGTGTCCGAGCTTTGGCTCCTAACTGCCAAATTGGAATAATACATTATTTTATCATCATCTGAGTTGTCTCTCTCTACACTTGAAGATTGAGAATTTTCTTGATACGAAGTCTGAGAATAAAGGCTCAAAAGGAGGGCATTCTTATTCAGCATTTTACTGGGTAGGAATCTTTTTCAGCATTAATTCTGCTGGATTATGGATAATCATAGTTCGATGCTATGGACTTGCTTGTTTTTCGTTGGGTCTCTGTCTGGCAAGGACTTGGACTTGACACGGTGAGTTCTATTTTTTTAGTGTCATTGGTGTCATTGGTGTTTGTGAGAAAGTACTTTAATATAAATTTTTTGTGTATAAATTCTCTTTTGCGTAAATGTTTTGTAAACAAATACACTTTGACTATCTTTTAAATATTTTATTTACACAAAAGCTCTTTTTCTTTATTCATGGAAGATAATTTAGGCAGTTAATTGTGAAATTCAATTTTTTTATTTTTTTAGGACAAAACATTTGAATTTTAAACTACATCTCCTTCTTTCATTCAACGACTGAAATTCTAAAAATAGCACTCTTCGTTTTATTAGTCGTTTCCTTTTTTTTTTTTTTTAATTCTATTTTACTCCCTAAGTATTTTCTTAAATTAAAGGATGAGTAATCGTATGAATTTTGATAGGATTTCATTATCTTTAAAAAGAGTTTCTATTCTCTCTCTCTATTTGACTCTCACCGTTACTATTTCTCTCTCTTCTCTCTCTCTCTCTTCCTCTATTTTCTCTCTTAAACTCATACTCTCACTTTCTCTCTCATCATTATTCTCATTTCCATATTCTCTCTCTCCCCCTATTTTCTCTCTCTATTTATGCCAAGTTACATTTAAGTCACATCTATGCACAACACTACATATAATGTTTGTTTTATAGTATGACATTGGAGTCACACTTTTGAATGCTCACACCATGACAAAATAATACATATGATGTGTAGTTGCATTTGTGACATTGGATTCACACTATGATATCTACCATGTGTTTTTGACTCTTTATATAACGTGTATATGAAGTGTTACATTGGAGTCACAATGTGATACCATCTATGTGCAAACTATGTATATGGTGTCTATATACAATGTGACATTAATGTCACATTGTGATGCCCACAATGTGCCAAAACCTGCATATATTGTGTATATATAATGGACATTGATGTCACATTATAATGCTCATAGTGGCCTAACCATGCATATGTATTTTACAAGCAGTGCAACATTGGTGTCATAGTGACCAAACTATGCATATGATGTGTGTATGTAATGTGACATTGACATCACAGTGACCAAACCCTCATTTTCAATAAATTCCAACGATGCCGATGATATGTGCTCTTCACATTGAAACCCTCAATAATAATAGATTTCTTTGACACTCGAGAATGGTGTTTGGACTAGATATTTGTGTATCGTTTAAATTTCAAATTTTTATTCTCAAATAATAGAAATCTAGCGCCAATGGTAGAGACATGCGAGCAATTGCTGTATCTTCCCATTCTTTCCACCGGTTTCCTTAGACATGTAGATGCGAGCAATTGCTATCTCTTCCCATTCTTTCCACCAGTTTCCTTAGACAGGTAGAAAACTTTTTAAATTGAAAACTTTTCCAAAAAAAATGCAACGATGTCGCTGTATTTGTTCTTCACAGTGTGACCCTCGTTTCCCAACAATGGATGTTGTGTGTGTTATTCACAGTGGATACCTATTTTTTGAGTTCTTCACTGTGAAACCTCAATAAAATGAATTTCTTTCTATTTTTTGTAATGTGAATGCTGAGAGAATGGTGTTTGGGGAAGTTATATGTGCCTCGCTTGAATTTCAAATTTTTTATCTTCACATATTGCAAACTTCGGTGACAATCATGGGGGCATGCAAAACTTGTTGTCTCTTCCCTTTCCTTCCGATCGCTTCCTTAGATAGTTAGAAAACTTTTTAATTTCAAAAAGGGGTATTTTAGACTTTAGCTATAACATGTGGATTTCTTTACTAATGTTTTCAAAAGTGGTGCTTTTTTTCCTAATACTTCTAATATTATGTATCGCCCCTTATTTCCCTTCTTTTTAGTGTCATTGGGTCATTGGCGCCTGTGTTTTTTTTTTTCTTTCAAGGAGTCCAGCCTCAATTATAATGATTCAATGGCATTTATAGGTGTTGATCAAAGGCCTGACACTAGCTTTTTCTTCAAATTAATTAAGTTTCACATAGTAACATCAATTAGTTTTAAATGTTATGTTCAATCTATTATGTTCAATGTTATTTTTTTATTATTATTGTGTTCATATTACTATTGTATTAAATATTATTGTTTTTTATTTTAAATGTTAATGTTTTTTTCGTTAAAATATTATTATTTTTGTTTTAAATGTTATTTTTTTGGTTTTAAAGATGTTGCTGTTTTTTGCTTTAAATATTACTATTTTTGGCACCGATTTTTGGCCGAAATCTATGAATTTTTTGTTTTCAAAATTGAAATGTGGAGGTTTTGGGTGGGTGGGAAGCTCGTTTGTGCTTTTCTGTGAGGAAAGAGAGAGTTCCCCGGGGGGGAAGTTTGAACATTTGAATAAAAAATTGATTTAAATCCAAGATAAGATTTGGGATGGAGTTATAGCCCCACAAGTCCTATGGAGCGGCCCCCAAATTTTCTAAATTTTTTTTTTTTTTTTTGGTGTATGCCTCACGGGGCTGTTTTTTAGAACTTATTTCTATGGAATTGGATTAAAATTTTAGGCATGGATTATATTTCTGGACATTTCAAATTTCGGGGCCTTCTTTGTTGGTGGGGCCTAAACCCCCTGGTTTTATTTTCTTTAATTTATGGGTGTGAATTAGTGGGGTTATTTGCCTTTGAGGATTTTGTTGGTAGAGTTATTTGATATTAGATGATGTGCGAGAATGATGTTTGTGAGATAAGTTTTGCACCATTGGATCAAAATAGATAAAAAAAATTAAATTAATTTTGACTGTTGTTTTTTTTTATAAATTAAGAAATTAATTTCCTAACTCTAATATTAGATAAATATAAAAATACTTGCTCAAAAAACATAAATAGAGGACACACAGCTCCTCCAGTACATTAAATTAGATAAACTTGTGAACCTTTCAAATTTTGGGCCCTTCTTTGTTGGTGCGGCCTAAAACCCTGGCTTCATTTGCTTTACTATTGAGCTAGACCTAGGTGTGAATTAGTGGGCATATTTAACATTGAGAATTGTATTGGTGGAGTTGTTTGTCATGTAAAGCCGCGTAATGAAAATGATGTTTTTGAGTAAAAAAAAAAAAAATTGAGATAAATTTTGTATCATTGAATTAAAATAGATAAAAATTAAATCAATCTTGACTGTTGTTGTGCTTTTATAAGTAGAGAATTCAATTTCTTAATTGAAATATTTGATAAATATAAGGGTACTTGCCCAAAAAAACATAAATAGAGGAAACACAGTTCCAGTACATTAAATCAGATAAAATCAAAAGTCCACGCAACACCAAATTAATTTATTCAAAGAGAGGAGACATATAAAAGAAGGTAGAAGAGTTTGGGAGTTGAGACAAGTCGTCTTATGGACCAGACAATGGCAGTGTTTCTGGATCACTGACTCCTAACTTGCTTGAGTTTTTGAAATCAAATACCGACTCAGAGTTAGGTTGGGAAAAATATATATTCCGAGTTCGGTATCAATTGTTTTTTTGGACAATGTATCAATGAGATTCACAATTTTTCAGGATTGATACTAAACATGTTGGGATCGATCCCCAAAACTTGGTATCAATCCAATTATTTACAATCAACTCTATTGAATTGTAACTTTTAGTATCCTCCTTTCAATACAGTAAAAATCACTTTAGATTTACAGCAAGCCAAGAAACTCTTTAGATTTACAGCAAGCAGGCTGAGTTTTGGGCAGCTCATAAACCTATTAAATTGGCAGTGGAATTGGGTTACAAAAAAATTGTCCTTGCAGGGTGTTCCTAAATGGGTTGTTGAAACAATAACTAAGAGGCAGTGTCAATTATTAATTATGGGTCATTTTATTGATCGATTCCATGTTTTGGCTCATGGTTGTTCTAGTTTTTCAACTAGTTGGGTCCTTAAGGAGGGGAGTACAATTGCGCATTGTTTAGCTAAGTTTGCTATAAGCTGTAATGATGGTGGTGCATGGGAGGAGAAATTGTAATGATCATGTTGCATGGAAGGAGGAAGCTCCTGAGTTTATATTACCTTCCCTCCAAGCAGATTTTGAGTCAATCTTAAAAGTTGGCTTAGCTCCTGAGTTTATATTACCTTCCCTCCAAAGCAGATTTTGGGTCAATCTTAAAAGTTGGCTTAGGAGCAGAATTGGGTGAATTAATTCGAATAGACTACGAACCATCAAAACATTCATGATAGAAATCAGTTCCAAAGCATTCCACTTAGATCTTTAAAAAGTTATAAAAACAAAAAGAAACAAAGATTAAATATACTTTTGGTCCTTAAAAATACTCGATTGCAGCTTCTTATGACTCCGTTAAGAGGAAAAAAAAACTCATTTGCAATCCATTTGTAAAGTTGGGCTTCTGTTATGCTAAATAGTAGTATATGATTTCGAGCTCAGCTTAGAGAGTTCACAAGACTTGTAAAACAAACCAGACAAATTCAAGCTTCATTGTATTGTAGAGCTTACAAACAATTTCTAGTCCAAGTTGAACCACCAATCTCAACCGAGAAACAAGAATGAACAAATAAAATAGGAAAGATAACCATTCTTCTAACAATCTCAACCGAGAAACAGGGCTCCCAGAAAAAAAAAGTAAGGCCACTTTGAGGTCTCGGCAATGGTATTAGTATGTGCAGATGTGTGTGTGTGTGTGTGTGAAAGAGAGAGAGAGAGAGAGAGAGAGAGAGAGTGAGAGACTTACATTTTAGCCCCGTGAATGCCAAAAGTAGTGGAAAGACAGAAGTGCATACAAGAATACAACCGGGCATAGAACACAAGATCTATAACTAGCTACTAGTACAGTGCAAATAGTGGATACAACGAATGGCCGGGTACAGAGGCCCTTAGATGTTTGGTTAAAGCAGATACCGAGCTAGACATCCTAATCACTGTCTACACCTTTACAAGTTAGGTAACATACTCACATAGCCGAAGAAATAAGTTAGGAAATTCAGATGGAGACCGCTTAAAGCCAGTTCTAACCCCGGGCTGCTCTGAGGAAGTTGTCAAAAGGGCTTGCAGGAGGCAACCTGAGAGCCAGCCATGGGTCCATTGGCAGCAAAGCTCCTTGGACAGATTCACCTTCACCGGCAATCTATATACACAAGTGATACATATTAGACATGTAGAATCTGTTAATACACATTCAAGTCATGAGACTCGTAACAAGTGCAAATTTTAGATTTTTCCAAACAATTCAAAATTCATGGAGCTCAACCCTCAGACGATAATATAAGAATAAAACTACAAACTACTACTTTGGGTTATGTGCTCATTACGTGAACTTCGTATTGCACTATATGCTTGGCTCCTAATATTTCCATCAAACTATCAAAGCTTCACAGAATACACAATGAGCTCTAAGTTGTCTAGTAGGTATGAAAGCACTTCCGACATCACAAATCCAAACTTTTGGGTCAATTGAAACAAATTTAAAAGACTATCTATGCTCACCTTCTTGATGGTTGACCGTCCATCTTCAGGGAATGCCGGAAACAGAATATCAGCACCTTTTGTGTGGTGGGATTCATGGTTCAACCAACTAGAGAGCTTCTTTCTTGAATATGCGCCAAGAGCTTCACACTGGCTAGCCATGGCACTGTACGGAAGGGGTGAAGTTGAGACAGATGTTCCAGCCACTTGACCAGCCACCTCGAGTGCCTGAAAACAATTATTATTTTGACTCAGGAATGAGATGCATGCTCAGACCTATATAGGGCCCAGGGACAGCATGCAGGGCAGTTCGTCTTCTAAGACATGATTTATAACAACCACCACGATATTTCAGATACTAAACATGGGCAATGGATTACCGGGTAAGTGTGAGAGTGCAATGCTTGAATTCTTTTGGTTGCACATGGGAAGAACTACCAAAGTACAGATCTTGTGGGTAGAGGCCAAATGCATAATGTGTACGATTTCAGAGTTTGACGTTAGGAAGAGATAATAGAAATATCCCAGAGTGACCAACTCAAATCCAAGGAATTCCCATAGACTAAAGTTGTTAAAAGCAAACTGGATTTTAGGAAAATTCTCATAAACCAATGGGATTCATTTTCTTCGTTTTTCCTGTTTAAACTTCAAAGAAACCACAAAAAAGGTCAACTACGGATTTCGGAAATTATCAAAATCATGTCAGGTGAAAGAACATGCAGTCTGACCCTGTAATACCAATATGAAGTGGCTAAAAGACAACAATAAATGAGAATTCTCAACCAGAGGAAAAAAGAATGTCAAAGGTTTCAACTACATGGAATTCTCAAGGTTGCAATGGAAGAGTGAACACTGAAACTTTGTATACCCTTTTGTTGGACCAAAACCATGTTTTTGGTCAACTGTAAGCCATAATTCGAGTTGGACCATATGATATACATCCTCCACACCCCACAGCTTTAACTGAATTGACAGGGTTTTCCCAAAAATTATTAACATTTTTTTAAAGTCTGTATTGGGCTCACATTTTGCTTAAGAGCATAAAAAAATCCAATCTAGCAGATCTGATCTTGACTTGAGAGCATCATATGTTTCAACACAGAGTGAACACAGACAGACACCCTCTCACCCCCAAAAAAAATGACCCACACACACAGGCACACAGAGAGAGAGAGAGAGATTACTGATTCCAAAAGCTGCCCAATGCTAACAATGTGAGACATGGAAGGGGTTGGGGATGGAGGTATTCTGGGAATAAAGCGGGAGAGGTCAACAACAGATGATTCACTGGTCACATCATCCTCAAATGAATTAGTAGGGAAATCCTGCAGTCAGCAAAAAACATACAAAAAATTATTTACTAAATCATTGTCAGGACATGTGCTCCACATAAAGAAATGTAAGTTGCCATGGGACAGGGGCATGTAAGATTGGGAATAATCACGTCAGTACTTAGAGGCAGATAAATCAAGGTTGGGAAATTTGACATAACAGCAACTTCATATTGGTCACTGAAAGATCAATCAAAGACATAAAAGGATCACACAGAAGAACATACCCCATCAAAAGAAGATTCCTTGGAGAATGCAGATGCCTGTACGTGATCCGAGTCAAGCATTGAATGTGGACCATACACAAATGCATCATCAGGTGTGAATGTTTCTGACATGTGCTTCATTAGGTCATCTGTCTCCAGCTAAAGCACAAAGATAGACATAAGCAAATTAAGTTGTACACACTTCCATTTCTTAAAAATGAGCAAGCACGCACATACCGGCACACTCACATACACCCACAAACACAGAGGTACAAGGCAAGGCGGAAGACATCAACACAAAAAAAGTGTAGCTCAGGTTTATAATTATAAATAATACCTCAGTAATGCTTGATAGATTCCGAACCAAGATCTCTAGTGTGATCTTTTCAGATTCATATATCCTATTCTGTAACTCAAACAACAAGGATGCAGCTGCTTCATTATCAGTGGTCGAACCATATTCTCTCACATCCGCCTGAAGCTTTGCATAAACTTGGAAGTCGTCACTGATGCCCACATAGGGATCAACCTGAATGTGTACCAGATTCATTTCGAAGGTTGTTGAATTGAGCTTGCAGTCTCACATACTATAAGACAAAATTAACTGACTGACCCACACCAAAACTAAAAGGCAAACAGACATATTTAACACTTACCGCAAGGGATGTAAACAATTATTTGAAAGAGATCTATGAGGATAAAACATTGGTTCTAGTAATCCATGATATCAATTATGGAACATGCATCAAATACTCTAAATGCCTTTATTTACATGCTCATTTGGGATTGCATTGTCATTTTTTGCTTTTAGCTCTATTGCAGCTCTGGAGTTTTAAGACAGTAGATACGTAATGCCATCTAGCATTGCATTTCTTCACATAACAATTAATTGAGTTTCCAATACTGCACTCTAAGAAAACTCGGTCCCTAGTACCGAGTAATATATAGCATGAAAACTACACAAGCATTCATGAGTACATACATGCCAAAATATAGTCGTCATAAGCCGACCCTGGAGCTGTAAGCATAAACATCCATTAGAAGATTACAAGAAGTGCCCAACAGAATTTGATCCAGAAAAAGTACGCATCCCAATCTCCTTTCTTTCCCAGTGAAAAAAATACAAAAATACAAAAGAATTAATGAAACCAAAAGAAAGTGGGGATCAATCAACTAAAGACATCATTGGTCAAGTTGATGATATGATCAATTTGAATCATAATTTGTTTTTGTCTAAATAACTATGCTGCTTTTTACCCAAAAACAAATATGCAAAACATCAATTTTCCCAGCAATAGTTAAAGTTATAAAAAACTCATTTATAATTAATGATATACAAATAAAAGTTCTTACAATCAAAATTAACAAATGCAATCCTATTTTGTCATTCAAATTCACCACCATTCATACAGTCAGTCAAGATAAATAGCAATAAATGCATAACAAATAAAAACTCACATCACAATTAAATAATGACTTGAGTAAATCATTCACATCAGGAATCTGATACATTTTTGCAGCAAACATCAACATTGAGGTTGATAAGATAAGTAGTGATCTCTGATAAGCTGGAGGCAACATTCCTGCCACAAGGTAGAAACATGTAAATAAATTTTATCCTTCTTGATGTTCAAAAGGCTCTGAGAGATTCAATTTCCCATACCTTGGTTAGAGTCCAAGGACATCTTCCTTAGTGACAGGGGAAGCTGAAAGAAGCGTACCACCAGGATGTCATTGGGGTTCTGTAACATGGTAAGTTTGAAACATCGTATGACTAGCCGCACCACACATATAATTCACATGTATAAAATGCACGTGTATAGTTGGTAAAAGAATTTTAAAAAGCAAACTAAAAACAATAGATAAGGCACCTAATGATTAAGAAATATTGCTAGTAGAAGCATTTACGTGGCGTAAGCCGTAAGGGAACAGCTCAATTACGATTCACATAGCATCTTTTAGAATAGTTATTATATTTAGACTTAGGGGAAGTTTAGTCATTTTTTTTTTTTTTTTTTTTTGCTTCCAGACAGAATTTCAATCCAATAAAAAAAAACTAAATAGAAACATGAGATGTAGTCATATATGTCCAAAACTTGGTAATAACAGAAACAGGATTACAAATTAAATATAAAACCTTAAGCTAACATCAAAACCACTTCATTTCTTCTTTGCCACCAAACACAAACCAACTCTTATTAGGATTTACCACCATCATCATTAGTCGCCCTTCTTCCTAAAAGAACTTCCCTCTGTAAGTCGGGCTTTTCCGCCAGTTGGCTGGCATAGTACCGTCTGGCAGTTCCCACATAGGCCCTTGGAGAAGAAGGAAAGAACAGCAAACCCTAGGAACTCTGCCGACTATTAGCTTTAATCAATCATAGAAAAGTAAGAGAAAGAAGAACAGAATATTATTAAGGCACAATAAGCCAGAACAACCTTAAAGAAAAACTACATATAAGAGGTTTTTATATAGTAAACTAAGCTAGGGCAACATAAAAGGAAAAAAATAACTAAACTACCCTAAGTCTAAATATAATAACTATTCTAACACCCTCCCTCAAACTTATGATGTGGTAACATCAAACATCAAGAGTTTGCTAAGAAGAAAACAGAAGTGTGCGATGGTATGAGATTTCGTAAAGAAACGATCAACAAGTAGCCAATACAATCAAACTATCTCTGCTGTTATGAAGGTCATAGCATGATACTCAGCTTCAACAAATGATCGAGTCACAACAGTTTGTTTCTTATTTTTTCACAAAATAAGACAATCATCAATGAAAAGATAGAAACCAATAGTGGACTTGCGATTCATAAAGTCACCAGCCCAGACCGCATCAAAGTAAGCACGAAGTTCCAGAGACGATCAAAGAGCAATGAGAGGTCCAACAGAAAACCAAAGCTCAACAAAAACCACAAAGAAAAAAAAAACAAACAAACTAGAACTAGTCCCAAACCAGCAGTAGTCAAAATCAAAAATTAGAACCAAAAGAAGTAGTCAACGCCAAACAATCTAAAGTTCGCCACAAATCAACTTAACAACTTTGCAAATCAAATACTCACCCAGCAGTTCGTTCACAAAATCAGCCCCAAAGGCTCAAACCCACCAATCAAAAGTAGAAACAAAAATTTCCTGCTTATTCAGTGCGAAACAATGCAAATGGAAACAAAAGTTTCCTGCTTATTCAGTGCAAAATAATGTAACGTCATGTCAAATAGCAAGTCCAAACGAGCAAGATCAAAAACCAGCAACGTGACAACTCACCAATGCATAAAACCAACCAATCAACAAGTCAGTCCAAAAGCCCAAAGCAACGGCAGCAAACGAAGAAGAAACAACCAGAAGAAGCAGAAGAAACACCAGCAAAAAAGAAGAGGCAGCAGCAAGTCAACAAACAACAGATCCCAATGTTCAAACTTCACAGACCAGAAACCAACGAAGAAGCAGACGCTCAATAGGCCTTAATACAAGCATCTCAAGCCAATAAATCAAACCAGCAATCCAGCAACTAAACAACCTAAATTCCATAACTTTCAATAGTCCAGAAGACAAATAGAGGCAGCAAAACAGCAAGACAGTAACAAAATACCAAAAAGGCACTAAAAATCGAAATCCAACGCGTTAACAGTAATTAGGCACTGTTCACTTACGTGAACAGTGCTTGCTACTGTTCATCCGGTGAACAGTGTTTTTGGCACTGTTCACAACCCTCAAAATTACAAAAAAATAACAATCCATCAATCACTAGCCCTCAAATCACACAACCCAAGAATATATTCTTCCGCCAACTAAATTACTGTGGTGCTACAATATATATTTTGGATCGAAACCATGCTCTAATAACTCTAATACCATGTTAACTTTGATCAATCATAGAAAAGTAAGAGAAATAAGAACAAAATATTATTAAAGCACAATAAGCCAGAACAACCTTAAAGGAAAACTACATATAAAAAGCCTTTATATAGTAAACTAAGCTAGGGCAACATAAAAGAAAAAAAAATTATTAAACTACTCCTAAGTCTAAATATAATAACTATTCTAACAGCATCTATAGATTGTTATTATTAAGCACAAAGCCACTCTAACAAATCATTCTATTAGAATTTGGTACGTCCTTTTTTGAAATGGGAGAATCACCGTGCTGGAGTATCCTACTTTCATGCAATTTAGAGGGTTCAACAAGCAATCAAAAATTTCATGATCAAGGGTGTAATAATCTTTGTATTGGCTGTATTATTTTAATATTAGCTTAGTTTCTTTATGTTGATCACAATGACCCCCATTTTCCATAGGGCACAATAATTAACCTAACTTGTACTACCAAAAGGTATGCAGACAATATATGGAGCATTTCAATCAGAAGACTCAAATATGCCCTTGATCTGTTTCAGTATGTGGCAGACTCCATAACAAAAACAAGAGAATACCATGAGAAAGATTTTCTTTAACTTTGATGTAATTTTTAATTTCATTGTTTGGTAGTATTTTCAGAATTGGGCAGTCTCTGTTTATAGTGGTTTTTAATTTATTAAATGTATCAATTTTCTGTTCATATCCTCCTATGGAAAAAGATGAGAAAATTTGTGCTTATTCAAATGCTCACCCTAAGCCGTGATGACACAAGTGTTAAACAGAAAGAATGAGCTATAGCTTCAACGTTTGAAGGTAGATTATCTGGAAGATTGGCTTGTAACCAGAAGGCAGACAACAGCTGGGCCATTTGGTCTTCACTAAATTTCATAATAGATGGTTCCTGCACCAATCCAAAATGTCAGTCCATTTTATTGGAGAGTGAGAGAACATGTTTACATTAATTGCTATTTCAGCAAGGTAGTAGCAAGTTAGTTTCTAAAGCAGAAATATACGTGTATGTATCCTACAGAAAATGAGAGACGATTCTTACAGCCTCAGCTGTGCTAGTTGATCCAGCAGTCCTGTCAATGATAGAACTAATTTTTTGGAAATTAGGGGAATTCTTGTGGGCCCTCCCCTGCTTCCATTCTTCTTCAGCATTTTCCACTCCCTTAAAATTATCATGAACATTAATTCCATGCTTTGCTACTTCATTTCCATCCTTTTCCCTCCGAAGCTTCTCAAGTAAAGCAGTAATTGAAGCAAACACAGATGTGGTATTGGAATGCCAACTCCTTGTATGGTTCGAAACATCACGTCTTGAACAACTAGAACATGGGATAAGAAGTACAGAAAATATCTGGTGTGCTCCAACTCGTACTTCAACATCTGGATGCAACATTACTTTCAAAAGCTGAACAAGAAGTGCATCTGGAAACACCTACACAACAGTGTTCAATAACATGTTCAGTGACCATTCATTCTAAGGGCAAAATTTGAAAGGAAATTGACTTAAAATTACAAAAAAGAAGTCATTGATGCAAATCTTTCCCAATAAAGTTGCACTATCATGTTTTCAACTATATTTTAAGATACTTGCACTTCCTAAATGACATGAAACAGCCACTAACCACAGTTAAAAAAAAAACTTGTTTAAGGTTGTAAAAAATTAATTATTCCAATAAATTGCGAGCTGAAAAGATGCAATTACCCAATAATTTTTCCTTGTATGCATTAGGCATCAAATATTCAATATAAACCTAATTTAATCAAGCTGAAAAAATCCCATTCCTGAAAAAATTTCCCTTAAATGTGTCCTTCCTCTAACAAGATCATAGAAAGGATAGTAAATTCACGAATAGCTGAAGCTCAAAAGAGAAATTGGTGAATGGCAGAAACATCAGAGCATGACTGTGCTCATATGCAAACTCTCTATAAAAAAATTTCACAAGAAAATCAAAAGCATCTAACCTGCAGTGACTGTGAAGAGACAGATGCCAGTGAAATCATATGAGCAAGAATGATCAATGATCCAATGGTTGCCCTAGCAACAACTTTAACAGCTGGAAGCTTCTCCAGTGTTCTCGCCATCATATCAAATAGTGGCCCACGATCACAAATCTAATAAGATCAAATAAAATGCCAAGTACATTAGAAGCCCAAATAAAGCAACACTTTGAAACATATGTAACAGAATCTACCCCTCTAGCGATTTCTAGTAGGCAATCTTCAATCGAATTTCGGAGTGTAATGTTGAAATTTAACTCTTGCTGTTCAACTGATTCTCCTGTTGCTTGAAGGCTCTTCCTCAAATGCCTGCAAAGGTCACTGACAAATCCACTATCTGAGAGCACAGCTCCAGATCTAACCTGTCGAGCCAAACCACTTGCAGTTTGAAGGACAAGTGATTTAATTTGAGGATCATGTGAAACATTTTTGTGGTCCAAATGACGAACAACAGCAGCCAAAATTGATTGTTGATTCCCTGAAATCAGAAGAAATAAGCTTTAGTAAACTGTCTAAGATCAGCCTAGTTCTTATGGATATCAAATTAGAGATGATATACAGATACTATAACCCAAATAGTAGTGGTTTGCAGCACATATGCAGTATAAATTGAGTGAACAAACTGTAAAATGGAGGGTTAATAAGAATTGATCTCGGGATGCAGAGTGACAACGTAGTTATCTGAATGAAGCACTCAAATACATGACTAGATTCATTAAGCTTCATTTTACTAAATCCTTTCTGTATTATCCAGTTCCTTGCAGCAATCACTTACTTTACCTATTATTATCCCAATAAAATCACCGATTTATATTCCAGCCATCATGAACATTTGCAACAAATTAATTTGTCCAATTGAGCCATTGTTGCAAGCACATGAAACTAAATGATGATTACCAATATCTTCAACCATAGGGCTGTTATTGATATTTATGTTACACTACTACGTAGAAGATGTAATTAGCATAAGGTGATAATATTCATGTTTTTCGGAAATATGTATGTATATTTTGTTGAAGACATTAATTATGGCAGTGTGGCCGAGACATGTCCAGTGTCCTTTTTTTTTTTTTTGTTGGGATTTGTCGTGTTGGCGTATCTGTGCTCTGTCATATCTGGATCCCATGTCCGTATCTGTGCTTCATAGATATCATTAATTTACAAGTAAAGTTTGAGTGAACAGAGAGGAGGTAGGACAAATTAAATCACCTGGACTCTCAATAAAGTATGACATATCAGATAGAACAATGAAGGCTAACCCATGCCGAGGAACCCAATGCCGCCGAGTGTCAAAGTAGACAAACATTGGATCCAATACCCGATGCATTGTTGTACTCTCCTTGGCCAATTCAACCATCCTTTGTATACATATTTGAGCCCATACTTCTGGTGCCTCAACCTCTTCTCTGGAGCATATAGAAACAACCAATTTAATGAAAGGGAAATAGAGGAAGACAGGGTATTAATGTTTCGTATCAGTCAAGTTAGAAGCTCCAAAAACATGGCATAGCAAGCTTTCCTTCTTGTTTTTTCATGACTACAACCTTGTTAAAATAGTAGGATCTTTCTTTTCTGGTTGTGGTCGGATGATCATGCAACTAGGACTAATTTCACTACCAACACCACCTCTTCCTTCACATCTGACTACTTCATCTACCCAATTATGATGTGCGTCCCCTCTTTCATCATCTTCCTCACTATGTGTGCCTCGTTCATAATTATCTAAAGTCACATGTACAATCTGCAATTCGGAAAACACAACAAGGTATTACTGCCATGCATAATTCATTCGAGAATGGGAACCACAATGCTTTCATAAAAAACTAAACAACACTGAAATACATTCATAAAGATTGGAAAAAGAAATGAAGATTACACAACATGGCTCAAATATATATACAAAGGATGGTTGAATTGGCCAAGGAGAGTGCAACGGTGCACTGGTTATTGGATCTAATGTTGATGATTCATTAGAAGAATAGCAAACTTTAAGAGAATAAGACTTTCCTCCTTGCAAGATGCCACTGATGACATACAAGATTGAACGTTTAAACAGATCAATTGCCCACCAAAGAACCTTGCAAAACATATGTTTTCCACACAATGGAACTTGTCCGTAAAATTCCTTCGGATGTCTGACTTGATTACAATTAGCCAGATACTAGTACTATGAATTTGTCAGACAAGTGCACCAACAATTAGATCACCAAGGTAGGTTGATGTTTATTAACAAAATAGAAAGTGACAAATGATGTCTTTTAAAATGGAGACATGTAAAAGTCGACAGGAGAAACTTTACAACATTCGTCACAACAAAAAATTTGAGATTCAATAAAAAAAAACTTCAGCAATACATCATTTCTAGTTACTTATTATTATCCTAGATTCAATGAATGATTCCATTTCTGACTACCTCTTTTGTCATTGTACTAATGCTTTCATACTGTACTAACATTTCTGAGATTATGGACACGATCAATTTTCATGAGATATTGAAAAATTCCAAAATCGTTTCTAGAAACCAAAAGAGTTCCATGACAGCATTGAATATCTTCAAAAGACCAACCTCGTCAAAATCGTCAAAAACATGAGAAAACTCAGCCATGAACCACACCTGCAGAGGGAAAACCCCACCAAAGAGATAGTATTATGTTGGAAAAAAACTGACCTAAGAAAAACAGAATAATTAAAAAAAATTACTCGGCAAATTCTAAGAAAAAATTGCCATATATACGCGGAATACTTCGTAAAAAATCTGCAGAGAAGGGGGGGGGGGGAGGAAATTAGAATATCAAGGTACCATGGATGAAAGGCACTGCAAGCTTGATGCCCTCAAGCAGCGCTTTTGATGCTCTTCCCCAGCCTCACGAGCTAGTGTGCATACTTTTAGAACTAAGTTTTCTATATTAAACAAGTAGGTTCCGTCTACCTGTCCATACATATATCCAAATATGAGTGTATAGCGGAAGCAATGCCAATTTTTGCAAAATGAGTTTGCTAGTGAGAAACTATTCCTGGTATTATGATATTTTCCTTTTATAATTAGACAGAGACTTAGCTATGGATACTTCACAGCTGAGATCACATCCCATCTGTTTACAATCATCAGGAACAGAAAAGTCTTAGGTTTAAGATTATTTATCCAACATGTATAACTCAAGTATTCTCCTACCCGAAAATCTCAATCTTTCTTTCCATGTTTAGTTAATCATCTACCCAAGTGGAAGAGAAACCCAAATGAAGGCTAAAGAGTTATTCGTGTTAATTTACTATTTGTAATTTCCTTCATTAATATAACTACAGTAACAGAAATCAAAATAATATATATTCCTGAGTCCCTCATTTGGAAATGAAACCAACTATTTGCAATACTTCTAATTTTTTATTGCAATGATATTATAATTAAGGTTGATAGATGACTTCCAATGTAAAGGGAAAATAAAAATACAATCTTCCCTTCAAAGGACACTCAAACTTCCCCTGGCAGAGATTTCATGTAACAGATTATAGTCTTCAAAGTAACAGATTTCATGCTCATCAGATTTGATTATCTGACCAGCATTATCTTTTGGCTCTTGTTATAGCATATATCACTATTGCACACAATAACAACTAGTAGATAGGCAAGCCATAAAATTGGGTTATTTAAAATTAAAAACAAAAACTGAAGCAGCAGCATTTCCTCCAAAATATGTTGGTATCAGACATTATTTCCATCTCAGATTCTTCATATAATTGAACAAACTATCTTTGATTATAGCTTCCAGATATAATGGACAAAAAACGAGACATTGTAGTGATGTCCTTATGCTAACTACCATACGCATAACAAAATGTCAAATTCAGTGAAATATCTTGAATTTATTATTCACAAAGTAAACATCCTCATCTATATGTTAAAGTGATTCCTTTCGTATCTTCTGAAAAATAACAGGAAAACTTACCTGAGTATAAATGAACCTAGTCAAAGTTTGGCATCCAATTATCCGGACAGCATCTCGCTTAGAATTATCCAACAGCTCCACCACTACATTCAGTAGATGAACAGCAAAACAAGCCCTGCAAAATAAAATAAAATAAAATTGACACATTTATTCTCTGAAAGACTAATTTTGAATTTCATTTTCCACCACTTTAGTCCAGAAAAAGAATAGAATATTTTCCAAGTAACCACACCTAGATCTAGCAAATCATCAATGCTTGACAGAAAGCCATTCACTTGCATACAGTGTATCTTAATATATTATAGAAACTCAATTGGAAGAATTTTTGAAGGGAAGGAGGAGTAAAAAGAATGTTTATGGGAAAAATTGAAATTTGTGGCTTCTTTTTGGGCAAAGGTGACCAAGGATTTTTGTAATATCCCTTTGGCTGTTTTGAAACTCAATTGGAAGGTTGCTTGTAGTTGATTTCTTATCCACCATTTCTATAATTCTTTTTACATCTTTCGTTCTATGAAATGAAAGTCCTGTTTTCTATCAATATATATATATACACACACACACATGCGCGCGCGCACATTATATAAAAACTCTGTTAATAGAACCTTGAAGCTTTTGATTTTTAAATGAAATCAAAAGCCCCATAAAGAAATTCACAAAAAACAAGAAAGGAATGACCTCAAGATTTTCCCCAAAATATATGGCTCATGGAACCCAACTGCTCCTACTTCGGAGTAAACTTCAGACTCAAATGCAAAGATTTTATAAAAGAAAGAACAACTTACATTTGCTCCTTGCACATGCATAACAATTTAATGTAAACCTCTGCAACAATATTGACGACTTTAATGTGCTCAGATCGAAGCTCTTTGTAGCATCTTTCTTCAAGATATTTTGCAATCTAATCAAGGATAAGTAGTATAATATACAAGCAATTCAAAACAATTCCATCCAAGAAACCCACTGTTGCTTGTTCAAATACTATCAAACTGAGCCAAGTTAATACCTTTGGGATTCGAAAAGGGTTTTTTGCAGCATATTCACATAGCTTCACAATTCTCCGTTCACTTGGAGCGCCATCCTGCACGGGAAATTTTCGAGTTACATTCCCACCTTCTAGTTATTGGTAAGAACAATTATAGTAGTCTGGGACTCACAAAGCTATGAAAAAGGCACATGCAAAACAAGTCACATGCTTTCACAAATATTCTGAAGGTGAAAATATGCAGCCTGTTCAATTTGAGTACATTTTAGCCTCAACAAGGTTTGAGAAGGCAATCAGCTTCAAGTGGCAAAATCTGTGACATTTTTTTTCAAGAAACTTGTATTCAACCCCTAAGAAATGTGAACATCATGTTCTAGTCGTGGGTGTAGTTTAGTCTAAATATCAGGAACCCTAAAAGGGTGACTAACAATGTGGACCAAAGAACTCCGTGCAGCAGAATGTTTTGAATGAGAGAAGTGTTCACATGTATAGTTTTGTACTCTAAGAATGTTCACTGAAGCCTCATTTATAGCAATGACCCTCTGGCATGACATTAATATCACTCTAATTAAGAATCTTTCTTGATTATGAGCCACTCGGGTAGACGAAATAAGAAAGTGTATACTCACAGGGGATTTGGGGAAGATGTCAGCGAGCAGTTTCTTGTAGCGCTTAACGGGTTGTCGGGATCGTGACCTCAGTGCAGGGCAGCATACGCACATGCTCTCACATGCTGGGAATATTTTCCGGGATATCAAACCCATTTTCCTAAAAATGTTGAAAGAAAACAAGTGAAAAATCCACAAAATAGCTTAACCAAAACCACCAACATAGCGTGAAGTAATATATAACCAATACCCAAAATAGAAGCATTACTACATGTTCATGAATATAAACCAGGCAGGTATGAATGCGTATACACCCAGAACCCAAAAAGTAGTTTACAGACTAAAGAAGTGAAGCAAGAAAAAGCAAAAGCCTTTAGAAGTTAAAAACAAGTGGATATATCTCAAATGAACCGTAAATTTGGAGAAAAACAAAAAAAACAAAAAGACCCAAAAATGAAGCAGTGACAAACTGTCGACCCAGAAAAACAATCTCAACTAGAAAAGGGAAATAGCAACATCCATTGCTGGTTACACAAAATAAACAGCTGAATCAATACTAACACAATCAAATTTGCACCAGTTTGAGCACAAATACACAAAGGACAAACGAAAAATAAACACAGAAAACACAAACCAATAACAATAAATGAAGGAAATTTTGACAAAAGCAAAGCCATGAGGAAAAACTGAGAACACCCATTAACGACAGAATCGAGAAATGAAGAAGAACAAGGACACATACCTTGCCCGGCGGAGACAGATCTGAGAGTGAAACCACCCACAGTGGGGTGTATGCAGATGTATGAAGAATAACAGCAGCAAGGAACAAGAGAGTGCGTGAGAGAGTGAAAGAGAGAGTAGTTATGGTAATGGTAGTTTAAAAGAAAAATTAATGGAACATGGGGAAAGGAGGGAGATCACGTGATTTTCAGCCAGTTTCAAAGAAAAGTGTCCTGTTTTTTGTTTTTGTGTCAGAACTTGGAAGACTAAATCAACACTTTCACTTTTAGTATATATTCTTTCTTTTTCATTTATGATGGAATTTGAATTTTAACATCAATGGATGGATTTCATAAGCATGATCCATACATTTCCAACCGGAATTTTAAATTAACTTTCATTCAAACATCTTACCACAGAGAAAAAATCCCTTTAATCAATATGAATCATTAGTGGCAAAGAAACAAATTCTTTGGACCCAGGTGTCTCTCGAAATGGCTAGCCCCTCTAGTTCTGTTGTTGGGAAAATGGGTTTAAATAAGTTAGGGGCTATTTGTTTGTTGTTTTAAGTTTTTATTTTGAGTTTTTGTCAAAAAAAATTAAACAAAAACGTAATTTTTTTTTATTTTAGTTTCATCTAAGTTGACTTAGAAACAAACTAAAAAAATTAAAACAAAAAATGATGTTTCAGGAAATAAATCAAAATCAAAACACGCGAATTTTGCATCAAAACACGCGAATTTTGCCGCAAAATTTTTTAATGAAGTCTCTACTTCGATCTTTGTTAACAACAACAAAAGGTTATTTTTTATGAAAGTATAAATAATGGGTTTTTTTATATTTCTTTCACTCGTCTCACTCTAGTATCACGCACACACATACACATCTCTCATTTCTTTGTTTTGGACGACGAAGACGCCTGAAGAACACAAACCCAAAGAAGACGATGAAGCTTTACTCCTCGATGCTTTGAACCCAGAACCTGAAGAAGTCATCCTTGTAGAATCTCCATCAATTTTTCTCTCTCTCTTGTGAACAATAGGGTAAACACTTTTAGATCGACGTATATACATATACTTATAAAGGCATTGAATAGGTCCCTCTATCTTTTTTTCTTTTACCCCTAAAAAATTCTATTTATTTTTATGTGTTGTGTGTCGGGATATGTGCGTGTGTTCTGTGTTCTGCGTCGATGTATGTGTCTGTGTGTTATGTAAATGTGTGTGTGTGTTGATCTATTGAGTGTGTGTGTATGTGGGTGTGTGTTGTGGGTGTTGAGAGAAGAAATAAATCACTATTTTCATTCTTATGTGTTGTGATTTCAATTTGGTCTTTATTTTTGCACTATTGTTTGTGTTATTTGTACTAATTATTGTGATTTTAATTAAGTGATACTACTTATTAATGTGTGTATTTCATAGTATGTTGACCAATAAGATATATTGCTATGTTTAATGACTTATTTATACTGTCTATTAGAACAAAACTAAAAAAATTAAATAAGGAATCAAACTGTAATTGACACAATATCTTTTAGATTTAATTGGGGTAGTTTAGTATTTTAATTTGATCGTTTAAACGACTAAATTAAATTCTAATAGACAATATAATTGTATACTAATTACAATTTTTTTTAAAAAAATTAAATTTTGATTTTTGATTTTATTTGAATAAATGATACAATAGAATATGAATTTTGGTTGTAAAATTTAAAATATTTTATATTTTATATTTGATTGGAGTATTTTTGTCTAAATATAATATTTTAAACTTAAAGAGTCTAAGTATTATATACTTACAAACTTCAGAGGGTCTAAGTATAATTTATTAAAGGATATATTACAAACAGAGGTGTAAGTGTTATGCGCATACAAACTTCAATGGTCTGAGTAATTAAGTAACAAACCTTAAGGGGTCTTGGGTGTAATTCTCCCTAATTATTTTACTTTGTGTTATTTGATGAATTAGTGAATGTATTAGGATAATGAATTTTGATTTGTATTTTGTTGTATGTGATATTATAAATTTTGATTTGTATTTGTATACCTTGAAGTGGTTATCAAACATATTTTTTGTTTTAATTTCATAAAAAGGAAAATACAAATGACTCCCCAAAATGTTTAATACAAAACAAAACAAAAATTGTTTTTGTTTTTGATTTTTTTGAAAATGGCAAAATAAAAATATTATCAAACGACCCCTTAGTCTTAAGAAATAAAAGTAAGACTCATATTTTGAAATTGGTGGAACCGAATTTAAACGTGTTCTACTCTACGAAGAGATTAACGTAGTATATGTATTTGTTCAAAACCCTTAAGTATTGAATGAGAAATTATGTCTCAAAATATCCCCATGAATGGATAGAAGGAAATAAGTTTAATGAAGTGAAGTGTATAAAATATCCCCTTGAATGGATAGAAGGAAATAAGTTTAATGAAGTGAAGTGTATAAGATTTGTCCTACATCGAAAGAAGACCAAAATTTGGTGAGTTAATATACTCCTAGTTGGTTTTATGGGTTGGGCCTTAAGGGATACCATACTTTTGTGAATGAAACGAGTACCTACACAACCTTGGTTACCACACACGCACACTGTCCGCTTGCCTCGCCACGACTCGGTCAGGCTTGGGCTTTGGATCAAAAAGATATTATCTTTTTGGAGAAAATCCATTTAGTGTGGTGCGTGTTGCGGGTCAAATCAAATGGATCTAAACACGGATCACAATTAATCTTCCAACCAAAATTATATATCCAAACGGATTTTTAAATTTTATGTCCGTTAAAATGAATTTGGCACCAAAATTAAATTTTGTTTGTGTCTGTATAATCCAATAGGTGCCTTTCTTTTCGTCATTGTTCAGGTTAACGCTATTCTCTTCGATCCAAATAGGGTCAATAAA